TGAGTTACAAATCTTGTTTTTTTTTTCATGCTCCCGCGATACAAAAACTAATCAAAGTGACTTGTGTGTTGTGTGTGAAACTTTTAATTTGATCAGGTGTAGCGTGGCTTTATAGTTCGTAGCCGTTTCTTCCGTTATAGTATTCTTTCCTTTGGGGAAATTGTCTGCTTGTCTTGATCTAGTTTAATAGCCCAGTCACGTCCGGATAATAAATAACTGCAACTGAGAACTATATAGCAAACAGTTCCGACGCGGTGTGAATAGAACCTAAATTACTCTCCCTCCTCAGCTGTCCGAAAGTATCTTACATCCCTCAAAGGACCGACAGAACACACAACCACACCCCTACCAGTGTGGTTTATTAGATTTGGGATATAAGATGTTCTCCGGGGAGTAAAGTACACAGAAAAGGTAATAAGATGATAATATTGTATTTTATTTTGTGTGATGTTGAGTCTGGTGATGATAACAAAACTTTTATTACTGTGTCTTAATCAAATTTTCTATGTAATTGGTAATTTTATACTTAAGACTAAAATCTCGACGTCGTGGTTTTACTTTCTATGTAAAATCCGTATGTTTGTTGGGAGGTACACACATCTTGCTCTTACATGCTATTCAAAAAAAAATATATCTACTACAGTTCGATAAATTATTATTAAAATATAATTTATGTACATAGCTTCAAGCAAACACATTTCTAATATTGTGACAATAATATTAAAATATCTCCCGTTTGTACTTATATATCTGACCCTCAGCTGTTCATTGACTATTTTCTTATGTGCTATTTTAAAGTCAATTTAAAGCCGTGGTATAGTAATTTGTTTTCTTTAAACTTAACAGCCACCAGCTGGTCTAGTACAAATTAGATCAAAAAGTTTACATTGAAAACTGGCTCTGTCGACACAGATGAGATTGTTTACGCATTTTAATGGGGTTTTCTGGTTCTTTAAGTGCGTTTTTTGTCGTCGTTTTTTGGTTTTCTGCTACAAATGTGTACTTGGGCGGACAGTGATCAAAATATTATGATGGATATGTGTAAGATACAATATTAATCCTGATTCCATCTAAGATACACAATATGCGCTATAATGCTGTTAATTCAATGAACAATACATACTACATAATATTTTGTTCGTTATTTTACAAATAGGTTCTTTGATATTCCAATTGAACAAGTTTAGGATTAGGCGCAATAACTATGAAGGGTTCTATTAACAATCAGTCGGTTTTCGGTACGTTATTTGATAATTATTTTTTTCTCGACTGATAGCGTCCAAAACAAATAATAACTTGGCAGCAACAGAAACAGTAACGCCCTTTAACTATTGGTTTTTGGCCACCCCACTTGATGCGGACGTTGTGTTCGGATAGCTTTCGATTCAAAAGTTTTTTTTTTCTATTCACAAACGTACACAACAAGCATATAATCATAATATATTACGGGTGTTGTGTGTACACACTGACTGTACACACTCCGACCCCACGTGGAAAACCATAATTATTTTTATTATTTTTTACCTGTCCACCCTTCGAAAGCACACGACGTTTTTTTTTTTTCAAGCTAAAAGGTCTTCTCTGTGCAATAAGTCCTTTATGAAAACGGCCTTTGTACAAAAACCGCGATGCTCGGCGGGTGGTTTTTGATATCTACTACACCTACTTCGGGTAGGTTTTTTTTTTGTCCTTCCGTTAGGGTTTAAGTTTTAATTTAAAAATATTACAAATAAAAAAAAAACCAAATCCCTGGGCGGGTTGCAGGTGCCGCTAATCGCCGCCAGCCGTACACTGCTTGGCTTTGAGAATTGAGAAAAACCAGGGTGGGTCGCTGTGCAATAATAATAATAGGGTGGCCCAGTGTTTATTTAATATAATGAAACGGCGGAGCAATAACATAAAAAAATCCAAATTATTTGCCGGAGACGGGAAAAATAATAAGCTGCTCGTTTAATGATTATGCGAATTCCTTGTTTTCCTCATAAAATACCTAATAAAATATTTGCGACGATCCAGAAAATCCGAGTGCGAATTCCTCGCCTAACGGTTCAGTTATTTCATTATAATATTATTGTTCATTCCTATAATCCGGCTGTCTGCCAGAAATGTTTTTTAGTATAAAACTTTCGTCGGTGTGTTTAAAAAACGCGTCTTTAGAAAATATTATATTATCATAAGGCGTTAAACGGAATTTGACACTTTCTTTATAATAATATATACATATATTGAAATTGGATTTTTTCATAAAAAAAAAAACCTTATTCGTTTTGATAAAATCCGTTTTGTAGAATAATCAAAGTTTATTTTTACTAAAAAAAAATAAAAATGTATAATTTAAAAACACCTTTGAATTATTTTGTTGTCGTTACTTTTTGATTTTCTGCTAAAAATATGCTTAAAAAATGTTTTGACGAGTATTGTAAAATATAATTGCTTATAAATTTATTTTAAATTGTTTATTTCTTAGGGACATAATTGAACATGTTTTTACTTAACTTTACAAAATTATTCAAAGTAAAAAAATGTTCATGATGTTATATTGTTTTGAAATATCAATTTTATCTTTAACTGCTTAGGTCGAATTTATATTAAATATTGTGTTGTTATTATTATTATTAAAATAATATATACAACATGAAACGTTAATTGTCTGTGATAAAAATCACTTAAAATAAATAAAAACAATGCCTTATTATTCTAAAAAGGTAAAACATATTGAGTATGTCTTGTACTCATTTTGCGACAAAAACCAAAATACAGCTAGTAAATTTATTGGGCATTTTTTTTTACACTTCCAAAGTGTGCATTTCAAAGGAATGTCTAAAATAGGTTATTGAACCTTAAACAGGTGATATCTATTAGGCAGAGTTGTATATACTTGGTATTGGTCATTAGGAAAAAATGTTAACCTTTTTATAAGTCATTTAAAAATAATTAATTAGCTATTTATTCAAAAATGTTCCAGTTGATTTAGGTTAACCCTTGCAAACAGTGAAGAACAAGTACAGATGAAATTCAAACACTTATCGCCAAATTTGTTTCCTACCGTTTGAATAATCACTAAATAAAATGTATTTAGTGTGGTCTTAAAAAATTATCCAATCAAGCTGCTTTTATATATTTTACCAAAATATAGATAGGTGTTATAATTATAATAGGTATTATCTGTCAGAATTACACGTTAAAGATTTTTTATATTAATTTCACGTTAAGAAAACAATTTCTTTCTGTGACAAAAAAATTGTCTAAAGTCTCTCTATTTATATATTACAGCAATAATTATTGCAGTAAATAATTCTCCGGCTGATTTATATAGATTATAAAGTTTACAAAAATAATATTCCGCTCGGTCGGTGAGTATTTTTTTTTTATTCTTCGTTTTAATCAGAAGGCAATAATAATTCATGTTAATAAATCACGATAATAAGAACCGAGGGGTTATTTCAGTATACAAAGTGTAAGCACTTGCCGTCCAATGCACGCGCGTCTTTTAATAGCATATTTTTTTACCGTGACAAAAAAAAAAAAAAAAGAGCTTTATTTTTTTTTAATGAGATACACGTGCAAAGCGTCCGATAAGAAATGCCATTTTGTTGGAACAATAAAAAATGAATTGCCATCCTGTCGAAATCACTGTAAAGGCAATAAAATTGATTGTGTTAGCTTTCCTGGTTTGTTTATTTTTTTACCTTACGGATACACTACATTAGATCATTCATCAGTCTAATTTTTTAGGCATCCAGTTAAAAAAAAACATTAAAAAAAACAAGTACAGATTAAACTTTTACCCCTATAGGGTTATAATAAATGAAAGATGATCCGGGACTGACAGTGTCTTCCGGTGGACTTCAGTTCATTCCTAATAAGCAAAGAAAAAAAACAGTAAAAAGTTACATTGTGTGTAATAATATCATGTTGAAACAAACGAATATTGTGTTTAAGAAATTAAAGATTTTTTTTAATTTTTCACTAAATATAAAAGACACGATTTTTTCTGGAAAGTTTTTTTTCTCTTTTTGTAGTTAAATAGTTGACTTTATAGGTTCACAGGTCATCTATATATAACTTGTCTTGAATTGCTCAGTTTTGTTTTCCAACTATTGTGCTTCTTTATTAGTTGCGTTATTCTCAAATGTTTCCCGAATGGGCTTATATATATATGCCATCTTACTTTCCCATAACTATTCGATTAGCGCATAACCGAAATTCTTGTCTTACCTACATCGCCGATATATATATTAATTATTTTATCATACTTAGCCACCCCACAGCTGTGCACGGCCTGTTCAAGTTTATGCTTCTCGCTGAACATTTCTCTGTCGACTAAACTATAACGATATATTTTGTTCGATACAAAATAGACCAACTCGATTTGCATTCCAAACGTTTTATACTGAATTCAAATCATGTATTATTTATAAAAACTACCCGCAGCCAGCCGTTTCCTCGGTTCTTTTGCGGTGGCAAAGTTTATGGAGTATTTTTATTTTCCCCGGGCTTTTTTATTCGAATGTTTTTTGCGAATAATAACGTACAGTATATAATACACAGTGTACTCGGGGCAAGCACGTATAGTCGATATTGTTGTATTATTAACGAAGCGACGGCATATACGTTTATGTATAATATTCTTGTCGCGTGCTTCCAAATCATTTCCATTGCAGTGACGTTCACGGCACAAAAGCCCACACGAATCCGAATTTTTCCATAGAAAACAAAAACTTTGTTTTCACAATAGTAGTCGATTTAAGTCCGAAAGGCCGTATTCGATTTATTATTGTCGTTATTGTTACTGACGTTTTTTAATGTATTTTTTCGGGGGAAATCGGTCTGAAATCATTACTCGTTTAAACGATTTGATCGGAATCAAAAGAGTCGAACTTCCCGTGTATTTATTTTGTCAACGGGTTCAATCCCCCAAAAACTATGTTATTTAACAATGTTGTCGGAATAACATTTTATTAACAAAATTTGTGTGTGTATTTTTTTTATTCTTTCAGGAAACCCTATGTCGTTTCAGAGAACACCGAGCAGTGGCCAAGGTGTCGTCTTGGGCGATCTTGCCCCCGCTGGACGAACGCGCTTTACAGATGGCCGTGGCCTTCGTAGGACCCGTCAGCGTGTCCGTCAACGCCAGCCCGAAAACGTTTCAACTATACTCGTGAGTGTGTTAAACATGCGTTGTGTGCGCGCCAAGGGACGATTCCACAGCGTAGTCTTAAGAAAGTCATACCGAATGTTGTGATCTAGTCTGGGGGGGGGGGGGGCTGTAACACGTGTGTAAGATTTTAACACTCGAGACGACGACGACGGTGATGACTTTACACGGCTAATATTTGTTGTCTGCCCAGGTCTGGCGTTTACGACGACCCGCTGTGTTCGCCGGCTCACGTTAACCACGCCATGCTGTTGATTGGCTACACGAAGAAAGCGTGGATCCTGAAGAACTGGTGGAGCAACCAGTGGGGCGACAACGGTTACATGTACATGGCTCGCGGCAGGAACCAGTGCGCCATCGCCAGCTACGCCGCCTATGCCACCATAGCAGTGCCGAAACATTGACACTTTTCAATCGACTCGTCTTGATATTGTGTTTTTTTTTTGTTTAAATTGTTATTATTATTGCCTACTATTATTTTACATTCTTAATAAACCAAACATAATCTAACGTGCCGCCCCGTTCTGCAGTGAGATATTGTCAACAGTGACACAGCTAAGAGGTGTTTGAAAAATATTACTGCAGTATGGTTTCAGTAATGTGATCGAGAAACGGTTGTCGAACCGGTACGTTAAGTGTTCTAAATATAAATTGTGCGTTGAAATTGCCATTTTTAGGTGAAGAAACAGGCCAAGATTTTAAAGATCCTCTTTGGATGTTTTAACTAATTTATACTCATTTGCGCTTATTTTATTGAGAATAATTTGCTGAGAATTTTTACTGATCCTCGACCGGTTTTGGATTATTACTTTTTAAGTAAAAGGGTAGGATGGGAGGTGGAGTGCTGAAGAAAGTTATTTTTATCTGCACCGCACTCCGCCTCCCATCCTACAGTTTAAACTTAATTAACTTTAATAGTAATTATCCCAAACTAGTTGTCGACCATTCGACATTTCCAGCACTATATTCTTGATAAAATAGATATCTTGAATTTTTTTAAATAAAATTAACAAAAGTAAAATTGTTAAGTGCAATAAAAAACGTGGTGCTATAAACACGAATGAGTATCTTATCTTCGCGGGACACCCTGTCTATTGATGTAAAAAATAGTCGGAGGTATTTTTGTAAAAAGTAAAATATTTGTTTTCAAGTAACTTTTAAATTATCTGAAGAGACAAAACATAATTCGGAAAACCTACACTTACTTGTTCCGTTGATGGATTCGTGTTAGGACTTCAAGAATCATAGTATTTAACCCTTCCAAGTTACTCAACACACGATCACCGACTTATAGATTTTATAGTAGATCTAAAACACACTATGACTATTGAACTTGATCCGAGTAGATGGAGATGCATTGTGAAGGCCACGAATGACGAACTATCAGGGTTGTAAGGAATTAAGATAAAACAAGATTGTGAGTTCATAAAAACGTTATAAAAATAACCATTCCCTCGAGGGAAAGACACGAACATGTCTTATGGCACAATAATTGACCTTACCGAAATCAGCCAGTTTAGCCTAACCCCCCCCCCCTTATTATTCCCGTCACCTCAATTTCTTTTTCCCTGCCCTTGACGACAAACAAGTAGACGACGTGGCAAACTGTGCAGCATACCGATCACAGCCAGATGTATTTTCAACTGTCATCTGCTCTAATATTCAACTGAACTCGGACGTAAACGATGACCGTTTTGTCCACCGCGTTTGGTCGAGCTGGTGGGGTGGAAAATATGAGACAGGACCCAAGAATCGTTTTGGGCTATGCACCAGAAGTCCTGGACGGTTAGGCAAGCGGGCAAACGTGAATATCGATTGCGTTCACCCTCGTCCGAGGCCTCTGGTGGTCCCCTTGGCGTACACTATAACGTGTATATTTGAGAATAACCCCAAACTAAAATACATGTACCGTCAATTACTGTTATTGCGGCGGTGGGTTTACCGTTTGGGGTGGTGGCTGACGACGACAGGGTGAACGGACAGAGTGACTGAAAGGTTTCGCTTAATGAAAGGTAGGTGCAGCGCATACATTGTATACGGGCATGGCACTATAATACAACGGACGGGCATCGTCGCCAGAGGGGAACCGCCTAAGGGGAGAGAGTCTGGAATGTGGCCGAAAGCCGCCCAAGGGTTAAGTGCACAGCGTGTTTCGGTTCAACGGAATTCGGATCAATCCGTTTCAAGTTTACCCGCCACACTCGGCCTTCGCTCGGCAAGAAGTATTCCAGTGAGAATTCGTCAAAAAAACACCAACGTACATTTTGCAGCATAATAAATGAACTTATTTCACCCTTCGCGAGCACGCATTTCATTTCGATTTAAATAGCATTACGGTGAAAAAGAGTGGAAGAGAAAAAAACAAATGAAAGTGCCAAAGTTTCCCATTGACACAGGCGCCGTTTAACAAATCCTATCATCTTGTAACATTTGATTAACGTAACACTTTCGAAATTATATCCAATAAAATTAAACAAATACCTAAACACCCAAAAAATCACAATTTCTAAATATTTTGATCTCATGAAAAGTACAGTGTTCAGCTTAATAAAACATAGTAATAATAATTTAACTATTTTAATACACCGAATGAACGGTGTAGAACATGTTAATGTCGTTGAGTATTCGGCTTAGGTTAGGTTAGGTTAGACAAGGATTGGTTTAGTCTCGGAAAATATCTGGATTTGACAATTATCATCCGGTTACAGTTTACACTGCAGTCTAATGGATAAGTACATTTTATACTGTACAAACAATGTTCCAATGTTCGTGGAATTCTCAATAAACCTTGCAATGTTTATATTGTTTATTAACTGAAGGGTAAAAATTCAAAACGTTGTATTGCCAAAATTGAATAAATCGAGTTACACATTTATTCTTGTTGTAAACTAAACGAGGAATTTATTTTTGGCATTTTTATTATTATACTCCATTTTTATAGTGTAGAAACAAAGGATTTAAAAGTTGAAGCTAAATCAAAACGTGGTATTGCCTAACCGTGGTGTTATATTACAGACTACAGTCAATATTTTCGTTTAATTGTAAATTTTTACATAAAAAATTACACTTTATTACATATTATTAGTAGATACATATTATTTAATAGAATAAGTTCGTTTTAAATTAAATCTGCTCATCAATATTAAAATGTGCTATTCCAATCTGTTTTGCATCAAACTTTATTATACAAAGTGTAAAAAATCACCTAAGTAAGTGTAAATAATAAAAAATGTATTTAATCGTTTTGCTATTTTACATCCATAAAGTTTATAATTCGTAAACATTTATTTATTTATATTGTGGTTGAAACAGAAAACTCGATTTCTGAAAACTGTCATTATTGGAAATACAACGTTTTGGATTGTTACCCTTCAATTTACCTAACATAACCTTTATACTAATCTTACTTAGTCAATAGAATGATAATACTATATAATAACCTTAACTGCGATTGTATTATTAAAATGTGTAGCCAGGGATTATAAATAGTTTTAATACTGTAATAATTACAAGTGTTCAATACTTGTTCTATATTAAATTAAATTTAATATGTACCCTGTTCATTAATTACATAATATTTACACTTATGTGTTAACCATTAATAAAAAGGTACGGAATTTGTTTAAGATATATTTATAAAAACTATATTTTTTTAGTGTAAATAATCGATAAAAAAAAATAATCAATGATCGTAGTCGTATTATTTTACCCATTTTAATTTTAAATCTTTGTTTTAAAATACTTGATGAAAAATTTAAATGTAAATAATTATTAAATACAAAAACAAAATATTTTAATTTTATAGACACAACGTCTTTTTTTTTTATAATAATAATATAAATATCTTAAACCGAATACAACAAGTAAAAACATTTTTATATATCATGTACTTACATAGTTCGTGTATATTATAATGATATCAAATTGGTATGATTGACAACACATCAAGCCACTAAATTTGTCTCGGGTTTCGTTCAAACAAAATACTATATGTGGTTTGATTGAAAAGAAAAACTAAATAATGTTTTCAGTTAAGGGTTTAAATATTAATTTCTTTAAGCCTTTTCATTGTTGTGATGATTATAAATTCTCCAATAATTTTAGCTTCGAGAATTCGTTGGTTTTACAATGATGTGTGTGTGTTTTTTTAAGTCCACTTCGGGTACACCAAATTATCGAAACGAAAACATTGAACACAGCAGTGTGTGATTAAAAGCGTTGGGTTGTGATGAAATCATACCTTTTCAGATTTAACGACTGCTTAGACCCAACTTTGCTAACTTCTGTACTGATGTACACTGTACTCGGTTTATATTGCGCTTGGTTTTATTTTTATGAAAGTGTTCGCGGACTAAGCTATTATAGTTGATAGTTTTTGGACCTACCGAGTTTATTGCAAATTGTTCTACGGGAAAAAATAATATGTTAATTTTATGTGCTAAGAAAATGTCGGCTCGTTGCCAGCCCGTGTCTGTTTGTCGTAGGCCACTAAAATAATATTTTAACGTTGAAACACAAATCGCACGAAACGAGTGTGGTGTGGTGGAGACGAAAACTAATTTTCCGTTAAAAAAATTAAAATACCGACTCCGAAAGTAATAATAATTGCTTTGGTTTCTTTTGATAATATATTATGTGTTGCCGTCAAGGCGAACGGTGACGTGACGTTGGGCCATGCTAAAATAAAATCTGACCTTTACCGGGACAGATGTATAATACAAAAAAAAAAAAAGCCGGAATGTCACAGTGTGAATATTTACCAAAAGAGCAAACCTTAACCTTATCCAACGCTATAATATTATATGTCTAATTATAATCGTTCTAGAATTAATGTAACAGCTCAGAAATTATGTGAGCTTATTTATTGCTTAAATACACCGCACTGTGCTGCACTGCAGTGGTGATGATAATCTGGTCTGTGGCATGTTTAAAAAAAAAATTCAATCTTTCTTATGTTGAAATGACTTTGGATGATGTCTTAACAATTTCGTGGTGAGAGATGGATAAAATCGCATCGTGAAAACCATGGAAGAATACTGTACAATGAAACATATTGTTTTGTACCCTCAAGTGAATAACGTTCAGTGTTTATCCAGAGCCGAGCAACAATTATTGCATAGTGTTTGTTGATAGTAAAAACAACGGCTAATCGCTTCACACATTAATAATAATAATAACATGCAATAATTATCGTGTGATGTTTTTAATAAAAACAACTGTACAAGCACACCGTTCAGCTATTGATGATGACGTTGGGTACTTACAGAAAAAAATAAAAAAATAATTTACACACATTTGATTTCATGATACCGTTTTACGTTGCGACGATAATTATTACAAACGCAATGAGTAGTTATTTTTTTTAATCACACGACTAAAAATTATATTTAGCTTGCCAAGCTAAAGTCTGCGA